AGAAAAAATTCAATATAATTCGAAATATCACAACTGAAATACAAGAAGCCAATCTGACTTTCATGTATGGCAAATCATCACTAAAAGTTCCCAAAATACAATTTTTATTAAAGGATTAAAAAATTTAATAGACTGCCTACAGAAATAAAAAAAAAACAATAAATATATTCAAAAGTAACCTCAAACAATACTTGATAAATAAACAGAACGGATATACTTTCTTGTCATAATACTCTTTAAACCTGCTCTTTTTAAGTATTTCCCTTAATTTATTATTATTATTTTACCCCTCGTTTTACCCGCATTTATTATACATTATTTCTATTTTGTGATCTTGTACTTTATTTTAAAAAATTACTTGATGTTATAATAATATGACTATATTTAAATTATTAATAGTTTTGCGACGATAGGTTATAGCAACTTATAGCCACAAAACTATGTTTGTGTTAAAGTAGATCCATAGAGAGCAATGTAATTTACAGAGGCCTTCTTTCAACATACAAATAAATGACAACTTTATAATTAAAATAAAAAACACAACAAAATACCTCGGTACCAAGGTAAGAAGATTCATTTTTAAATTTTATTTATTGAGGAAATTAATTACTAAAAGTTTACTAATTATTATTTACAATTCGCTGGTTGAATATGTAATCCAAACTCGTATAATAAAAATTTTCTACAAAAAAAAAACCAGCATTATATCCTACCTAATAAATTTGATGAAGGTGTTTTTGTGTCTAGGGGCGAAATAGTAGTACGCTTAAGTTAGCACCACCATAAAAAAGTCATTTTTAAGAAATTGTTTATATATTTTTCATAAATTGGAAGTCTTGGCTACGAATTTCGAATAAAAATAGCCTCCAAAATGGCTGTGATTGTAAGTATGAAGGTCGCAACCCGCCTTAGAAATTTCACCTTTACTATCAACAGCTGTTGTTTGACAGGTCGTTAGAGAATGTTTGCAATAAATGGAATTTTAAGGCACCATAGGAAGGGCCTCAGTAATACTTATAAAACAATACAATAAAAGATTAAAACAAAGTATGTCTAATACTCCAAAATGAGTCCCAGAGTTATAAATTTTATAATGTTATAAATAGCCTATAAAACCGATTCCACAGTTACCGAAATTATTATTTTTTTTATTTGGTAAAATTGTTCCTGTCTATAGGGACCGTGCGTCATGACTTTAACGCTAACTGGTGATAAAAATGTGAACTTTATGGGGGGTATTTATTAATGTTTTATACGGCATTTATTGTTTAATAATTATTAATTAAATAAAGTCGAATTATTTTCGTAGTATCATTATCGAAAAAACTTGTTGCATTTGTGGATGTACAAACACATCACTTTGTAAACCTGGATTTCATCGATAGTAAAGAAATTTTGTAAATTTCCACAGAGCACAACAATTAATGTCTCACACCCAATGATATACATAATTACAAAGATTGCTTATCCATATGTAAATCAGACGACGAAAAGCGTATTTCACTGGGCAAAGTTTTCTTTTTATCTAGCTTGTATTAATTTTGAGCACTTAGTTGTAAAGAAATAATTTACAGAACCGGTTTAGAAATTAGAATCTTTAGTGTTTTCTTGTCATTAAGATTTTTACATATTTAAATTAACATTTTATATAAATATAATTTTACAGATAATGGTTTATTCTGTTGATTAAAACTAATGTAGAATGTTATTATGAAATAAGAATGTCCAATTTGACAAAAATATCATGGCCCTCTTTACAATTTATCAACTATTTCTCATTTATTATTAAAATAAACAAATCATAAATAATACATTGCAATTACTGTCAAAAGAGATTGCAACAAACTTTAAAATATTAAAAATCCAGTGATTTTTTGTAAATTTTTTTAGTGACATTACCATTAAACATTATTCAGAATAATAGATAAGTGTCCAATTACAACTCTTACCAAAGTTGTTTATACCTCATATCAATGTTTTTTTTTTATTTATTTGGTGTCATCGGCATCAACTACTACGGTTATTAGCCTAGTGTTCTGTGTAGGCTTTGTTACTGTTTCTCAGCGCCACTTTAGGAACAGCACTGTTAATTAGAACCCAACAGTGAATGGTCGAGTGGGGAATCCTACCAAGGCATCAGAATTAATTTTAAATAATTAAATTAAATGAAAAAATCCCGGCCGTTTACATTACCTTTTCAAAATTGTATTACATATTGCAATTATGTATTTTATGTAGCATTATTTCTGAAATGAGAGTAGTCTAAAATTATTTATATCCATCTGTTATAAAAATTGTTTAGATCTCTTAATATTATTTAACTACATGGAAAGTCAACTTTCCAAATACATAATAACATGTCTTGAAGTAAAACTGTAATTATTTACTTTTTCTAAAGATTAAAATGCTGAAATTTTATTTTAAAACAAATTTAGGCTTGAACGGCTCTATTTAGTGAGCACTAGGAAAGGCACATTGCAACCCGCTTTTCATAATTTTTTTATAGATGGGTGAGCAATCTATAATATGTATCATTGGACACCTCATAAACGTCAGTGGATGAATGACATTTCGTCTAACAGAAAGCTAAAAAGATTTATTATTATTATCAATCTTTTTTATTAATTTACATTTTTTAAATGTTATTGTAATACTTTTAAATTCAGTGTTACTAAATATCGATATTTTGACATTGGATACACTTGTTTAAGGTACAACTTTACAATTTATTGTCACTTAGCCATTTAAATCTTTTTGCTTAAAATGTATATACATGGTCAGATTTTAATAATGTTTCACATTTTACGTCATTTTGACCATGTACACGATTGTTTGGTACGGGCCGGTATCCATTTTTAACTATATTTAATATTTAAAAAAATATCCTTTAATATTTACTTGCAATGTTTACCCCATTTAATTCTAAAATTAAACACTAGAGAGGGCTAACTTCGGCAGTAGTGCTGCCTCTATATTTCACGCACGGTCCCTATTTTATCCCTTCTTCGCTTGCGAATTCACTAAAAACTGGTTTTACATCAATCGGTCGATAATTACAGTTAAAGATTTCTGTAATTTTTTGTACTAATTCTGTCTCTGGCCAAGAGATAACATCACCTCCTGGATATAATTTACTTTGACGTACATTCGTTCAGAAATCAGTTAATAAAATTCCAATAAGGTGTTATCATTACCGGGATTATCTCACACCTCACACAAAACTAAGAACAAGTAAAGAGATTTAATAAAGGTGAGTTATTAATATCTAATTAATCATTTTTTAGATTATATGAATTTTTAAATCTATTTATTATAAGTGTATATGTTTTTCTATTAATGAATAATTTTCAGCCAAAATATGATTTGAAAAAGTATAATTATTTCTGTTTTTAATATAACTATTGTAATGTTCTGAATAGCATTTCTTGAAAGTACCTACAGCCCGTTTGACCCATACATAATTTTGGATAACTACTACAATTTATTATTGGGATTAATTTTGCCCTTATTGTTTTTAATAATATACCTCCCAAGCGTATTTTTGGTTTTGAAAGCCACGTTAAGCAAGCGATATACATGTGGGTTTTTAAAAATATATAATCAAAAATCTCCAAATAAAAAATGGCCTCATTCTATCTCAAATGCGGATCTATATTAAATCTAAATATTTAACTATTTCGTCGGTATAATTTTTAAATTAAATCTAATTTCAATGTTAAACATAGAAAGAAAATTACGGATGAAAACATGAGAATCCGGGTGCACATTACTTACGGGATATTATCTGAGGCTTTTTTTGATGTTTCCAAACCTTCGTTCGATGAGGAATACTGGGAATGAAAAGTACTTTGGCGGTAGGTGGTAGGTACAATTTAAGTGGAATTCCCTGAGAAAATTTTGACAAATGTTTCAACTTTTCCTTTGGTGCTTTATAAAATGTTCCATTCACTAATTCTGTATTTAACTCCAATATTACTCGATATAACGTAAATCTACTGCTTTATTTATTGTCACGCTTTTCACATCTTTAATGGTCCAATTTAAGCACTCAAGATAAAAAAGGAACGAAAGATAAGCGTTCCAATTTAATCCTTTACAAGATAAAATACATTTCTCCTACGCTCCAGTCTTCTATATAAAAAAAGAGTCTGGAGGATTTGGGGAGGCACTTGCGCATTGACACCCCGTTTATAAATAAATGAAAATTCTTGGCTTGTGTAGGTAGACATACTTGGAACGTCGCCAAAATGTTCATTAACATTATGCTTGTATTCTGATTTATTTGGGAAATTAGAGAATTGCCTCAATAGTATCATCTTGACTTTATTAGCTCTACTTCACATATTATACATACTAGGCACTAATTGAATATGCAATTGATAATAACCATAACAAAACTGTGATTGCTGTAGCATATTTTATGATTAATTGCAATATTTATTCATAAACATTCGTTTATTTAAGCATAATATACTTAATATAATTGTCTTTTTAATTGTTAATCATGCTTCATTCAAAGAAACATACTTATATAATTCTTACAAATAATAATTAGTTGTTAATTGTAAAGTGGATTCCTTCCAGTCAAAATTCTGAATATCTATTTACATAATGGTTTATTTGTTAATTAAAATTAGCACAAGCTATTGACATAGCCCAATAATATTTAAGTGAACCCAGAAGAGCAGTATTGATTTTAATTTTTAATTGAAATAAAATCGTAGGTCAAGATATTTCTGCATAAAATACAAACTATCCAATAATAATCCAGTTGCTTACAGTTTTAGAAAAACTTGATATTTTAAAATTATTTTATTTTGCGCAAAATAATATTTTATTGTGAAATTATATCAACAATTTATAGAAACAAACTAGAACTACATTCTGATCGTATATCGAAAATTTAAACTTTTGAATTGGTTTTTCCTTAAATATATATAAACTATATTAAAACGTTTTTCCGCAGTACTTACTCAATAATAATACATATTATTACTTACATGTTGCCAAGTCTTTCAGTTTTTAACAATTAAACACTAACATCTGCGAAACATAATTGGCGCGTCACTACAATGTAAAAATCGAAATAGTTGCCACAAGTTATACCAAAGTCACTTCCTGATATTGGTTTGTTTCTATAAAATGGCTGCCGACGGCACCCTGCTGAATCGATACTGAAAGTTTCAAAGATACGCAGGACTCGACAAAATGTCCTGCGATGGCGCATGCATATTTTTATCTCGAAAGGATATCTATAGTCTGTTTCATAATTATTTATCTTTGAAGTACAATTATTTTCTATAATTATAAATAATTATTTGCGAACTTATAATATCCGTACAATTAATGCATTTTGTATAATGGAAACTATAATGAATTGTAATCGAACATTCTTTTAAAAAATTATATTTAATGTGTATGACTATCAATGAACATTTAACGAACATGACATTTTTAATATGTTCCACTGACAATAACACTGCGCTTTCTGCTTACCTAAATTATATAGTTTTTGAACTTCCATTAAACATATTTTTAAAATAACATAAATCAAGTTTTATCCAACCAGAAATTTGAATTATTCTCCTACCAGAAGAATACGATAACTAAAAAATATAAGGAAAGAATGAACGAAAATAATGAGACATAAAAAAATAAATAGATAGACGATATTATGAATGAAATAAAGAATGGTAATACAAAGTAATATCAGCAAATTAAAATCCAAAGAAGACAGTAACAGTTGGGGCAGAAAAATATGAAAAAATCACGGAAGATAATGAAAAAGTGGAAGAATCGTTGACAGCAGAATTCGAGAAAATAATAAGAAACTTATAAAATGGTAAGACAACAGCAATAGATAAAATATTGAATAAAATGATTAAATATGGAGGCAAAAACTAACAGAGAAACTATACGAACAAATGACATAAATATAGAGGGAAGAAAGATTTCCAGAAAAATTGACAGCTATCCACAAACTAGAACAAATTCAAAGAACAGCATGTCTCAACATAAAAACAACACCGGCCAGAGCCATGGAAGTCATTCTTAGTCTCACTCCTCTTGATGTTTACATCAAAGAGGTGCTTCTAATGACACGCTTCAGCACGGTTGAAACAGAACCTCATCTATGATCTGGTGAGGCGAGACTTCGCTGTTGGAAGGAGGCACTCCATATGCTTCCACTGCTTCGAGATATACAGTGAGCATCAGTCTTACCCCCCCTAACTAACTCGTTACTGGAGTCTTGTTAGGAAAATCGCCGAGACACGTCGATTTTTTATTTCTACAATGTACATTTTGGTATAAATAGTTTACCCTTAATTTCATCCCTTACAAAAAAATTTGAAATTTGCTTTATTACGTGTTGATTTAGTAATGTTTAAAAATATCAACACATCACAAATAGGAAAGCAACTAAACTAACAGTGACATTATCTAATGACGCTACGTTAATTTCCGTTATTCTGAAACAATAATTAGTCGAGAATTAATGAAGCAAATTTCAAAATTTTTTGCACGGTTGAATAGAGAATAAAACCCCCTTTCAAATGAGCTATCACTCACCACCCCATGCGATTTAAATTTTTCAAAAGTATTGCTCCCCCTATAGTAAGGGATGAAACTAAAGGTAAACTATTCATACAAAAACGTACATTGTAGAAATCAAAAATCGATGGGTTTCGTAGATTTTCCTCCAGTAACGAGTTACATAGGGGGGGGTAAGACTTATGATGCTCACTGTATTTTCCATAAGACATAAAGTTATAACAGAACAAACAGGAGAGGCAGAAGTGGCAGGTACGATTCATATCTACACCGACGGTTCCCCAAAAAATCAAGTCTCAGGATGTGGAATATACTTCAGATCCTTAAACCTAAAAAAATGGGCTGTGATCACGAGGATTCTCATAGCAACAAAACAAATCACCAGAAATAATATCACTGGAAGAAACATGCTCATCTGTACAGATAGTAGACAAGAACTACTCGCCCTGGATAGAACATGAGTTTGGATGAAGTATCCATCAACAATGTGGTCAACTTAAGATGGATCAAAGGTTACGCCATATCGAAAGGTAACACTGCAGCAAACAAATACTTGACCATGACTATCATGAGGCCAACAGAAAGATGAGACCATCGAGATCGCCTGACGCTCTCATTTATTAGAAGATTTCTGTTCGGCGAGAATTGGCTAACACCAGCCGATATTAAATAAGCACCTCTTGTCAACTACATTAAATCTGTAGACTCGTTCACGAGATAGGGGGTGCCTCTCTACTTAGGAGGATGCACAATGGGCCTAGTGAGGTCAAAGTGATGTGGGATAACCCATCCTCCACACGTTACAGATACATATATAGAAGACTCTTGAATACAGCTTATAGGATACTAACATTAATAATATCAAAAAGGTTAAAAAAATATCCTGAAAAAATAGTTGGAGAATATCAAAATGGATTTCGACCAGGAAAATCAACATTAATTTTGTATTCACGTACAAAATCAAAATCATATTTATTTATTTTTATTTATTTATTTATTTATTTCTACCTTATAACAGATTGTTACAATATTACATTTATAATAATATATATTTAGGTAGCTTCCTCAATGGTGGAGTGACCTAGGCACTTATGCCTGTTATGTCCATTTCCACATGAAGAAGCTAACTAAGTGAATTAAAAAAAAAAAATTGATATAATAGATAGAGTATTCAGTGAGAAAGTGGGAGGCACAGTCAGAGAGAAAGATAAGGCAAGGCGAACTAAATTAAAATTTAGTAATTTTGAAGTTAATTTTAATAATTTAAAAAATTTCAAATACTTGAGGATTTGTCGAGATCTAAGTTTTAATTTGTTTTTTAAATGTATAAATTTTATTTATTTCTTTTAAACGTGAAGGAACCAAATTGAACAGTTTAGGTCCAAAGTAGAAAAAAGATCTTTGGGTTACAGTTTTGTAGAAAAATTCTATGTTTATATTTAAATTAGTTGCTGCCCTTGTAAATGTAGTTCTTTTTGCAAAGTTTGCTTGTTTGAGGTACATCCTTAGAAGACACTGAAAGGTGTATTTGTCTCACTTTTAGTACATTTGTATCCTGATATATCCTGTATATAGACATTGAACTACATATCTAATATACATAGACTTCAAACAAACATTCGATAGTATAAAGAGAAAAGAATTACTTAATGATGCGAAAGTACCAGGAATACCACAAAAAATATTAAACCTAATTAAGATAAACATAGAAGGATTAAAAGCAATCGTACAAACAGAGGGTCAGTTCATAGATGGTTTAACTTTATCAAATCTGCATATATCGACCATGTTATGCACGGGTTCTATTGCCGATAGAAGAATTATTTTTTTTTTGTTTGTTTTGTTTGTGATAAAATTTTCTATAATTCTTATTTTATACCTAATTTCTTTAAAAAATACCGTATTCGATATATTTGAGAAAAAGTGTAAATTTCGAATTTTGAAGAAAAATCAAAAACGGATGAAGAAAAAACATTAAATTTTAAACCTAAGTTTCGTTCCGCCTGAGGTGAATTGATTTGATTTTGGGTATAGTCGGAACTTTATAAGTAGGTCGTTTTTATATATTTTGGAATATATCTCTTATTTATGTTTGGAAAAGAAAATTCTTCGCATAAAAGTAACTTCTAATATTAATCTCTATAATTCTTGTTTTATACAAAATTTTCCTCAAATGGTCCCTATTCGAGAAATTTGACAAAATGTGCAAAATTCTGATTTTTAAGAAAATTGTTTAACTAAAAGTTGTTTGTTATAGTTGGGAAACTTCATGAAGAGAAGATGCCAGTGGTGTTGTTTTTTCAGAAAAATTATGTATTCCATTAATTTTTATGGTGACACCGTCACAGATGTTGTGTTTGTTTGGAGTGCGTCAAACAAAATGGCCACCATACCAATATAAACAATGTGCGCTATCGTCGCAACTATTTAACCGATTTCAATTTTTTTTAGCTTGTTAGAAAGGTAATGTAAAGAGGAAAATAATTAATTCTTGAAAGTATTGCGAAAAAACAATATTTTGGCTGCTGGTTGTATTTAAAGTGAAAAAATTATGAGGTCTATGTCTTGAAGGCTTCATACAAACTAGTTCGTAATGTTTCAATCCGGTTAATATATAATGTAATTTGTTCATTATGTGGTTGTGTGAAACTCGTGACCCTCAATTAGAAATGGATTTCCAATACGCTCTAGTTCGCCAAATAGTATTGAATTACTTTATCTTGAGCTTTAGAGGCGATCTCATTATTTTTACGGTGCTTTCTTGCTTCTGGTTTTGATAAACTACCACACATACTCAGTGTTTCTTGTGATACTCTTTGCAGTTTAGGTGCTGTTAAGAAAAAACGGGCTAGAGCATTAGGTTGCTGAGTTATTCCAACCAGTCCTCCCATAACTTTCATTGCTCTGTTTTTATGTTCTAGTGCCTCATCACAAGCTAGAGCACAAAAAGCTATTTCAGACTTATTTACTACCCAGTTTCCCTTTTGGAACTCATGCTAAATATTTGGATGCATGCTCGGAAAAAAGTAGAATTGCGGTGCCCCTCCTAACTCGGTGTTGGATCATCAGAAATAAAAAAATCAAAGTTTTCTCGTTAGACAATCGTTTTTCCCAGGTAACAATGGGAGGGTTTTTCGTAATTTCAATTTTTTACTTTTTGGGAACACTATGAAGTAAAAAACGCGATTCTGGCGAAAAAAATAGGCTAATTTGTAATTATAAAATAAAAAAGTATTAACAAATTTGAAAAAAACTTTCCAGTGTTACCTCGTAAATTATGTAAAGAAATAATGTTCAAAATTTCAAAAGGATAGGTGCAGTAGTTTTGAAGTTATGAGGGGCACTGACTTTGGAAACATGAGTTGTCGGAAAAAAGCTTTAAAGTTTTTAACACTAAAAAAATTGGAATAGAACGTTCATAAGCAAATTTTATCGACTTATCTCACACTGAATCATCGATGCCAGGTTCATAAAGGATATTGCTATCATTCATAATGTCTAAAGCATCTTTTTGCTTCTGTCTACGACATATCCTCATTCATGAGCGCTTGATCCATTACTGATTCCCATGTCTTGGATGTAGGTTAGTAAAGCAAAAGAACATACCAGGCC